ATAAAATTAGCAAATACAATTTCTGTAAAGAAGAACATTATATATTGATAAAAGGATCAATTTGTCAAGAAGACATAATGATCCTAAATATACATGTACAATGAAGGAGAGCATCAAAATATATGAAGCAAAACCTGATAAAGGTGGAAAGAGAAACATACGAATCTCCAAACATAGGTAGGGACTTTAACACACCAGTTTTAGCAATTAAATTACTAGATTAAAAAATCAATTCGGTGCTCACAGCACAGTGGTTACAGCATCAGCCACATACACTGAGGCTGGTGGGTTTGAACCCAGACTGGGCCAGCTAAAACAACAGTGACAACTCCAACAACAACAACAACAAAATAGCCGGTCATTGTGGCAGGCTCCTGTAGTCCCAGCTACTTGCAAGGCTGAGGCAAGAGAATCGCTTAATCCCAAGAGTTGGAGATTACTGTGAGCTGTGATGCCACAGAACTCTACGGAGGGCAACATAGTAAGACTCTGTCTCAAAAAAAAATTAGTAAAAATATAAAACTGCCTAATACAGTCATCCAATTGGATCTAATTGACATATGTAGACAAACTTATCCAACAGTGAATTAAACATTTTTTAAGAGTCTGTAGAACATATACTAATACAGACTTCATCCTAGGCCATAAAACAAACCTTAACAAAGTTAAGAGAATTAATAAAGCCTTACACAAAATGTTTTCTGATCATAATGACTTCAACCTAAAAATTCTTAACAAAAAGACAAGAAAATTTCCAATAACATGGCAATTAACACATTTCTAAATAATCTATGGGCCAAAGAGGAAGTCCCACATTAAGTTTAATATAAAACTGAACGTCTGAAAGAAAGTAAACTATAACATGCCTAAATATGTGGCATGCAGCTCATACATTGCTGAGAGGGAAATTATAGTCTTAAATGCTTATATAAGAAGAGAGGAAAAGAGTCAAACCAACAACCTATGTTCCCACATCAGGAAACTAGAAAAATAACCCCTAAAACAATCTGAAGGTGAGAAATAGTAAAAATATGCCTCGGCGCCTGTAGCTCAGCGGCTGGGACACCAGCCACATACACCAGAGCTGGCAATTCGAACCCAGCCCGGGCCTGCTGAACAACAGTGACAACTGCAACCAAAAAATAGCCAGGCCTTGCGGCAGGCACCTGTAGTCCCAGCTACTTGGGAGGCTGAGGCAAGAGAATCACTTAAGCCTAAGAGTTGGAAGTTGCTGTGAGCTGTGATGCCACAGCACTCTACCCAGAGCAACATAGTGAGATTCTGTCTCAAAAAAAAAAAAAAAAAAAATAGAAAAAATAGAAA